CACTAATAACGAAAGGTGTAGACAGGCATATCTTTTCTGTCAAGGGCCAGAGAGTAATTCTTTTAGGTTTTGCAAACCATATGATTTCTATCACAACTACTCAAATCTGCCATTCTAAAAAGCATGAAAGCAGCCACAGATAACGTAAACAAATGACTGGCTGTGTTTCAATAAAGCTTTATTAACAAAAATAGGCACTGTAATAATTTGACAAGATTTTTATAGCTCAGTAATCATCAACTAGTAATAAAGTTGTCCAAGTTAGGATTTTAATTGCACTTCCTAATGGTAATGCACATTTAAATTTTTATTATTTTGGATCCAAGTGACAGCAAAGTAAATGTCAAGGTTGGTAACTGTACATTAGCTCCCTGTGCAATTGTGACAATGTTTTATGATACCAGGCATGGAAAAGTCATAATTAAATTAACCTGAATGCCATTTAAGTGCATGAAAAATCAATGGGATAGTCATGTAAAACAAGTACCTTGAGCAGATGCAGCTTTCCTCCTGAACTTCTTGTACAAATTAAAAAGTGCTTTGTAAATAAGAAGCATTGTCTTTCTCCTTCCTTTTTCAAAGACAATGAACCCAGGCGAACTTTACTAAGTTTCCCCTTCTCAACGGAAGGTACTTGAATAAGGGAACCTGGTGATCACAAAAGTGAAGAATACACAGCAATTAAGATCCTATGAAATGAGAGCCATTCCTGATGCAATAAACACCAAAGAGTCATTGGATGCACCACTGGAACAAGTGAATCCCCTACATGCTGAGCAGAAGAAGCAATACATTGTGTTTTAAGAGTCGCACTAATTCCTACTATTTTTGTAAAACACTTTAGACTTGGTTATTCATCTCTAAGCTGGAAATTAATAGCGTTTACTATGTATTTAAAAAATAAAATATGCAATACCATGAAATATACGAATTATACAATTCAACACAGTTTAGTTAAGGACTATTTTTAAAGGACAGCTATTTCAGGTTACACTTATTTTTATTTTAGTTTCATTTTATTTTATTTTTCAATTGAATTTATTAGGGTGACATTGGTTAATAAAAGTATATAGGTTTCAGGTGTACAATTCTATAACACATCATCTGTATGTGGCACTGTGTGTTCACCACCCAAAGTCCAGTCTCCTCCCACCATCATTTATCCACCCATAGCCCTCCTCTCCTCTGGTAATCACCATGCTGTTGTCTGTGTCTATGAGGTTTTTTGGTGTGTTTTTTGTTTGCTTAATCCCTTCACTTTCAGGTTACATTTAAATTGTGTGATAAAAATTCTTTGTGCAATCTAAATGGAAAAGAAACCACATGAAGTCTATACCAGAGCATTCCTATGAGCAAACTATCCTCCATTTCTTGTGAGAATCTCTGCATAGACTTTATATAATTTCACCCTAATAATGACCTCCCTTCTCCCCGCAAAATAAAATTCCAATCTAAGTTAAATATCAAACTCAAAAGTACTAAGATTCGTATATATACCTTGCCTCTGACTTCTGAAATGGCCTGAGCCAGTATTGTTTCTACTATTGGTTTATTCTATCATCTACCCAAAAACACAGCCTTAGAAAGGCTCAGATCAGCCTCTTGAGAACCATTTAATGCATACTGAACCCTTAAATAGCTACAGTGGTCACCTCTAAGAAGTGAGATTGCAGGCAGCCCTGTTTTCCTCTTCATACATTTTCTTGGTTTCCTGATTTTTTATTTTTGAGCACAGATTAAAGTGGACAGAAAAGCAGTAAATTCTTCATAGACACAAAAGTGTAATACCATGATTATGGGTCACCAAATGTTCACATTAACATATGAGTATTCCAAATAGCATCTACTTTTTAAAAAAGATGTAAAGGTGTACAGGATGGTAAAGGGCTCAAAGCTTCCATGCCCAGATTCCATCTTTTTAGATGAGTGTTAGGTGGGGCTGCTTGACAGAGAGAGTGGGCAGCTCCTGGGGCCTCAAGAATAGCATGGGAACAGTTCTGGGGAGGGCGTGGGACTGAGGAACAGAGGGTGGGAGAAGGCTTGATTCCACTGAAGGAAACAAGCAAGGGGAGAGTGAATGAGGGAGGTGAGAAAGGTGGGAGCAAACTGGCACAGAAAGCAGGCAGCACGTAATTAACTTTGAAGAGTGAAGAAAGGATGGGAAACGCTCAAGGCAGAACACTTAGAGAAGTAGATGAGCAAGTAATAGAAGCAGAAGGATTGTTCTCATGGGACTCGCAGGGTGGAGATCTTTCGGAGGACCTGGGTCATCCCATCATTTTTCAGGAGGGAAAATTGAGGCCTGAGAGGCTAAACAGCTCTCAGTGTTTAGTGTCTCAGAGTGGCATGGCCAGGACATGGCAGTGGATTCAGCATGGTAAAAACTGAAACCTGGAAAGGGAATGGATGGGGAAAGGCAGTAAGTTCTAGTTTTGCAGGGGCGGTGGGGAGTCATCCAGGCAGATGGGTTAGGGCACAGTGAAAGACTGGGGCTTAGGCCGATATCCTGGTGGACAAGTGGGTTTGGGAGTCATTTTCAGAAAGAGTATCACCAAGGCTATAAAAACTCAATAATAATATATTCATTGATAAATGCTTCTAGCTTTTAATTATCTCATAAGTCAGGAATTATAGAATACATTGTCAACTTATGTATTAGCAATTACTGTGAATTTCAGCTTTGAGGTTAAAAAAATAAATGTTTCCTTGGCAACTACACACTAATATGCTTAATCTAAACTGTTCACCTCATATCCAACTAGGAGACTGTGTTTTACGTACAGACAGAAATTTATACAGCCTAATTATAAGTGAGCAATTTCAACACTATTGTTCAGTTTATAAAATAACTATATTGGAAAAACATGTTAGGTGGATTTTTTCCACAGTTCATCTTACATTTGACATGATGTTTCAACACAACCATGAGACTTAAAGATTCCTCTCCAGTTAATGCAAATAGAGAAATAATTATTATTAAATTAGTAATTCTTCAGTATCAGACTATTGCTATGATACGTTCCTTTGCAACTCTATCATCTCTATTCAATAACTGGGGTCAAGGTGAAACAAAACCTATTATTTTGTCACTAAAATCCCATAGAGTGGCATTCGAGCCTGGCTAATGCTCTTATTTTTTTTTCCTTCACTCCCCCCCC